GCGTTCTGCTGCGGCACCCTAGTCAAACTTGCTTACATTGATCTCACAGACGATAGATTCTTTTGATACTTATTTTTTTCTTCAAATTACGGGAAATTATATTTTATGTCTTCCAAAAAGCTTTGACGTGAAGTGTTATTTATCAGGATGGGGTGGATTTAGAGATAAATCTGGGCAGAAACAGATATAGACCTGAAGAAGATGACTTTGGCGATATGGTCTGACCCCTATATAGCTGTTTCATTCTTTCAATTTAGAGCGCCATTATTTGTTGTCTCTACTTTATTGATGCAGTTTATACTTGCATTTCCTTTTCAGTTAAACGAGCGTCAGATGGCCAAGATAAGAAAGGGCGAGGAATTATCGATAGAGAGGGAGAAAGAGATACAGCAGGCGAGTGCTTACACTTAATCTATGTTCTTAGTTGTTTGTTGCTGCTCACCTATGGTTTTTTCTTTTCGCATGCAGTCAATCATAATCATTGTCTGTGTCATTTTGCAGGTTGTAGAATCAGTAAATGATCTTGCCCAAATCATGAAGGATCTTTCTGCACTTGTGATAGATCAGGTAAAAATTAATTATTAAACTCATGATTCTCTTTCTTTCTCTAGATTCGGAGTCTTTTTCCTTTGGAAAAACAAACTCTAAGCTTCATATATTTCGCTGCAGGGTACAATAGTTGATCGGATAGACTATAATATCCAAAACGTAGCAAGTACTGTTGAAGATGGACTCAAACAACTGCAAAAGGTTTTGAAAATAAACTTCATAGCTAGAATATTCTCTTCAACATTCATGGCCAATCATATTTTTTTTTATCCCAGTTTTATTTAAGTGATCCGCGTTAAACATTCACAGGCAGAGCGAAGGCAGAGACATGGAGGGATGGTGATGTGCGCGTCCGTGCTTGTCATCCTCTGTTTCATCATGTTGCTACTCTTAATACTTAAGGAAATATTCTTGTGATCGGAACAGCTTCTCTTTCACCAGAAAATATGAGCTCTATGGACCATCATCATCTCCGGTTAGATCAATAAGAAAAGTTTGATCCGTGATTCTTTCATTCTTTAGACCCGAACAGCGCATGTTGCTTCAGAGGATGTTGTTAGGTAACATTGTTGCGTACACGACCATAGATAGTCAAAGGTCAATGTCTGAGGAGTTCAGAGATCATTTTCTGAGAAGCCAAAGAGATCTGTGTACCACAATGCCAAATATACTACTCCATCTTTAAAGCCAAGTGTTAATTTGAAAATAATATTCCAGTCATAATATATTACATATCTCGAAATTAATTCATAGCTTCTCGTCCAAATATACTATTATCAAATCCGGAGAAAGTTTCTGAATATTTGTCCGAAATTAGTTTTTTTTTTGAGTTATCTAGTCAATTAACCCATTAACTAATGTAAGAAAATTATGTAATTGTGTTGTTTAAAATTTGGCTCTTTTAAAGTTAAAGTTGTACCATCACATTTTCCAAATCAAATTTGAGATGAAACATTCAAAGATAAAAATTTGAATTCAACTGTAAGGATCAATTTATATTTATAAAATATATTCTTTTCGTATAAACAAAAGAGAAACAAGTGATATTTCTATCTTAATATGTTTTTATGTTATTTGTACAACCTTTTCTGTATGGTCGGATTTAGTAGGGTACCTAATATAAATTACAAACGATACAAAGTCGTTGGTAAGATTCACTTTATCAATTAAATTAAAGATGATTAGTAGATAACCCATAAACGCAAGCTAATAAGTACGTGAATTGTATGCAGTGTACATTTGTAAGATTCTAATTTCTAAACGCGAAGTCTCTTTTACTTCTTAAAGGACTTCCCTCTCAACTCGGTAAACTCCTAAAGATTTTATTTTTTATTTAATTTGTTATTTTAGGATTAAATTTGTTCTGTGAAGAAAATCTCATGTCAGAGAGCTGTAACTCTCGGCACTTCTCATGGCTCATGAAATCTTGCTTACCAAATCCTTCCGATGCCCAATCTCTCGTTCCGATCCACCACCCATCTACGGTGTCTCCGGCCACGCCGCCGATCGCTTCTCTACCGGACGATTTGTTGCTCGAATGTCTCTCTAGAATCCCTTCCTCTTCCATTCCTTCTCTCTCCGCCGTCTGCCGCCGTTGGTCTCG